TCAGGCGGCTGTCAGCCAACACCCCCAGGTCCTTTTCCGCCAGGCAGCTCTCCAGCCACTCCTCCCCCAGCCTGTAGCGTTGCATGGGGTGGTTCTGACCCAAGTGCAGGACCCAGCACTTGGCCTTGTTGAATCTCACGCAGTTGGCCCCAGCCCATCGATCCAGCCTGTCCAGGTCCCTCTGCAGGGCCTTCCTACCCTCCAGCAGATCGACACTTCCACCCAACTTGGTGCCATCTGCAAACTTACTGAGGGTGCACTCGATCCCCTCATCCAGATCATCAATGAAGATGTTGAACAGGACCGGCCCCAACACTGAGCCCTGGGGAACACCACTCGTGACCAGCCGCCAACTGGATTTGACTCCATTCACCACCACCCTCTGGGCTCGGCCATCCAGCCAGTTTTTAACCCAGCGCAGAGTGCACCCATCCAAGCCGTGAGCAGCCAGCTTCTCCAGGACAATGCTGTGGGAAGTACCTGAAAGCCCCCAGTAAACAGAGTCAGGGAACTGCATTCACAGGTGGTTTTTATTCTGAGGAACTGTGAAAATCTCTTGATGCATCTAAACGGACAGGTGATCCATTTATAAATACTTTTCTACTACTGAACATGTTTTTTGTGGCAAATATCATGTATTAAACTAAAAGGTTAAGCCAAAAACTGAAATAGTGGAGCTGGGAGGAAAATGTACTTATGCTGCTGATGATTTGAAGGGTTTGCGGTTGGTGTAGACACCCCGCATTTGGCTGAGAGGCCAGTGCGGAGGGGGCACTGCTGAAGAGCCTGGGCTAAGAAAGTGTGCGCAGAGCAGCAGACCTCCAGCTACGGTATCTGAGGGGTCACAGCATGTTCTTCAGTCTGGTTTATTCAGTTTAAGGACTGTCAGGCAAATGTTGTTGCCAAGAAATAGCCCAGAATGTGAGGAAGAGATGATGCACGCTCCCACCAGATGTATGGCAGCTTTTAAGGAAGTGGATCTAACGTTTGACCCGAAGATGGCAAATGGTGTTTCTAACAAGAAGAAATCACAGTAGATAGGTGGTTTTGTTTTCAGACTCTATTCTGCATAAGAAACTCCAGCAGAAGAGAGTAGGATGGCTCTCTACAACAGCAGCTGAGAATTAATCCTTAACCTCTAAACTTCAACCTGTTACTTTTCTAGAAGGCTCGTGAGACAGGAAGTCCTCTAATGCCATGTCCAGTCTATTTGTTCCAAACTGGTATTGCTGAATGACTAAAATATGGCTGTCAAATCCAAAATTGTTACCCTGTGGATTCTTCAGGGAATTCTTAAATCAAAGCAGACTCTGGGTTTCTTTCACATATGGTAAAATAGCCATGAGTTTTGTCACACCTACACTTAATGTGTGAATTTCTTTAACAAAAGCACTGACAAACCTGCCTCATTCAAAGAAAGGATTCATAGGAAAGCGATTCTTATTTTTAGCTTTCAGGGAACGCAAGGAGCTGGCAACTAAAACAGTAGCAGATGGGAATCCTGTTGTCTCTGCTCAGGAAAGACCTTCAAAGGCTTTGGGCCATCTTTCCATCTCAGCAAATCCTAACTTGAGCTTTCGGTCACATTTTGGAATGTGCAATCACCTTCAAACAGTTTGATAAAAATCAAGCCAACTGGGTAGAAAAAGCATGGTGTATTAAGGCTATTTCCCCCTCTACTAGCAACTGTTTCTTCAGGATGAGCAAACAGACTTCCAAATAGAATATAAGCTGGAACGATGTTTCAAGATTTTTGCCTGCATCTTTCTGCAGCTGGGCAGCAGCAGATGTGCTAGATGGAGGATGCCCCGGGCAGCCTGTGAAGGCTGGGCAGATACCACATTCTAACAGTCCGTTACTGTCGCATCCCTCCCGGTGTAACTGTAAAGCTCTCCTCTTCACCTTACAATGCAGTGAAAACAATGAGAGCAATGACAAGGGGAACTCAAAATAAATGGCGCTGGTCTACAACCAAGCCTTCCTGACAGCAGCAGAACAGGCTGTCAGTAGCCTCACCTGTCTCGCTCCCAAATCCCGCCACACTGGAAGGGACCTGCCTTTTCCTAACACCTGCCGGTCTTCAGCTGCTGAGCAGCTCAGTTCTCCTCTGCATCCCTGTTTTGCTAGCAGCATTTCAGTGTCCAGCCTGTCCTTCTCGTAAAACCTCCGGGAATCCTGTGAAAACTGCAGGATGGCAGGTTTTACCACAAGGGCCCGTGGTGCCTACGAGTGTCCTGCAGTCCCTAAATTCCCCACTTCCCCTCAATTTGTTCAAGTTCCTGGAGTACCACCTTGATGAAGGGAGGCCTCCATACGCATTTCAGCTGTTTTGTGTCTTCTATTCTTTACCCACTAATTCTTGACATTCCTTTGCATTGTCTTCCATGCTGATTCCTCAGCTGCCTTTCTGAGGACTATCCATTGTGGCCCTGAGATCTTTTTCCTGAGTGGCAATAGCTAATCCTAGTGTCAGTAGTCAGCATTGTCCTCTTTCCCCAAGCACTATTTGGTGTTTATTGATACAGAGTGTCACCTGCTGTTTTGTCACCTGGTGCTGTAACGATCCCGCTGCTGCTTCTTGCAGCCGGCTTTCAGACTGACTATCCACAGCAACTTGGTGGGTCACCAAACTCCATCATTTCATTACTCATTCAATTCTCCTGGAAACAACCTGGATGTGTTGCACAGCACAGGCTCCAGAAAAGATCCTTCCAGAAAGGATCCTTCCAGCAGGTGAAACATGTGGGGAAGTGGAGAGTCCCTTGATGTATTCCTACCCTTGACGTGCTCTCAGCCAGCGCAGAAGACGGTGCTGCTTTTCACCTCATTGCAGCCAAGATTACCGGGAAGTCTTTGGTGAAGGGCTCCATGGAAAGTCCTTTGACCGTCTGCTACGTTGACCAAGCAACTTGCTGCCTCCACAGGCCCCTGCAGCGAGCGCCCAGGGCTGGGGTGAAGGCGGATGTGGCACTGGGCAACCCGCCCTGCTCCTCGGCCGACTCCCCATCCCTCCTCGGCTGGCAGCCAGCGCTCCCGTGCGAGACCCGGCTCCAGCTGCCCCGACACCCCGGGCCGCCGAAAGAAGGGACGCGGGGGGCTCGCTGGCTCCCGCAAGCGCCCCTCCACGGAGGCCGAGCAGAGACGCCGCCAACAGCCGGGACACGGCTCCTCGCAGACGGCCCCGGGGGGGAAATGCCCCC